ACACACACACACACACACATTAACACACACACACACACACAGGCAACCTCGTGACAATATGCGTTTTGTACTGTTGTTACACAGCACAAAACGCATAAAAATGTAAGCATTCATTTCTGGAAAGCAGAAGACCAAATTTTTGTGCCTGTTAGTTAAGCCGCTGAGCCGAACCACTACAGAGAGATAGCTGAGCTAGACAAGCCGACACTGTCAAAGCTAGAAAAACCGGCATTAATTTCACCAAATGATTCACTTAGGAGCGACAAAATCAGGAGTTCTATGAGATTAGTACACCTCGGTCAAACTCGGTTATAAAATAACAATTCTTTGCATGCATTGTAGAGAATATGGGTGCATCTGACATTCGCGAAAATAGTGCAAACGCTGTTAGTGGCGGTGGCAATGCAAATCACTGGGAGCCAGAAGTTTGTACTCCTTTTTATTAATACTTATTCATGTGATATACTTTACAAAATTTCTCCCTTTAGGTGAATGGAGCTGCTTTGGCTTTTTGTTTCGTTAAGGAATAGTCCGAGAAAAGATCGGACCTCTGTCTTTGCTCAAGCACCGTACAAAGGAGCTAGGGGAAGGCATTTAGTTTTTGTGTTAGCGTTTTGAGGGTTTGTACTGCGATGGAAAATTTGTTAAGTAATACAAATATCCTCAAAACAGCTCAATAACTTCTATTTCTCAGACGATATGCTGTGTAACAAGAAACATGGAGCTCGACAGAACACTTTGTGTCTTATCCGTCGAAATTTGAGCACCCGAGAGGAGAATGACGTGCTGTCATCACTAACGACTTTCAGGAAATTTGTTAGTGAAAAAGAACAGAATACAGCTAATTCTGCTGACGAGAGATGTGACGGGACCATACCTAACCAAAATCGAAGGTGGAAATACGCAAGAGAGAAACAATTATAGCACTAAATAAACAAATGAAATCGCTGGTATTTATACTCATTACGATACGCAGAAATATGTCGGGGAGTACAAGTGGGAGGTCCAGAGGATGGGCGAAGGATGGTGCAAGACGCTTCGCAAGCGTTCCATGCTCTTTTGGCGCTACGACACATTATCGCTGTTTCTAACAAGTGTTCGTTCTGAGTAACGCTTGAAAATGAATGAATTGCTACAGAAGCTTGATGAACTGAGTCAAGAAAAGAGTGCATTTACAAACCTCCTCTGACAACTTTGTCGGCAAACAAGTGCCCGTTCAAATGGATGGCATTCATAAAAATGCCCACGAAGGAAGCAAATCTGTTTTACAAGACAGTTTACGGGCTTTAAACATTAGGCATCATTACCACGAGTAATACTGTCGAAAAAAAAAAAAAAAACTACAGAAAGTGACACATGCTCATGGTGGGAACGAGGCTACGCATCAACGACCAACTACCCGGAACAAGACGAATAAATTAGCTGCAGTAGCCGATTGGTGAATCTCAGTGAAATATTGAGCTTTGTATCGAGGGTATGGGTGATTTTGTTGATTTTACAAGATTCGTTATTCTTTGGCAACTTTTAGAAGAAAGCAGTGTCAGTCGATTTCAACGCACTTCCTCCAGGAGGGCGCACGTGTGCAGATGTTGAAGCAGGTCTCGTTCCTGCTGCTACTGGTGATGATGATAACGGTTCGTTTTTTGCATTTGTGCAGTGCAAAAACTCAGATTGAAAAGGAGTTGCCTGTATGTATGTGTGTAGCGTCTGTTCGAATTTTATCAACCCCCAAACCTGCGAAACCTATGAAAATGAAACTTTGGTAACTTAGCTTTCCACTGTGAACGGGTCCCGAATTTAAAATCTTTGGATCACATATGGGCAAGGGACTTCTTAAAGTCCCAGTCTTCTAGCGTACCTGGTCCACAAAATTGCTTTCCCGCAAAAACTGTTTTGCGTGTCCATACGTGAGTAGCAAAAGGCGTGAACTTCATTTTACACCTAGGCTTACATACGCAGATTTAGACTAAGTTGTCGAAGTTTCAACTCTGTAGCTTTTGTAGGCCGCGAGATTACACACGGACACACACATCCGCACATATACGCATTCACTCACACATATACACGTATGTCAACTTGGTCTAAACCGAAGTGCGGTCCCTCGGCGCAAAATGGACATTCATATTCCCCAGGTCCTCACGCACGAACAAGTGGAGAATATTTTGGCGAAGAAACGTCTTTGGGAACTAGGCAAACTAAAAGGCTAAAACTGCGAAAAAGTTCCTCGCTCGCGTTTAACCCAAAGCGTTTAAGTTCATTCCTTTTTCATTCCTTTTATGTCTACATTTCACGTTTGACCATATGAAATTTAATATAACATCGCTACCAAAGCAGCTAAAAGTGTTGAAATTTTTTGAGTATGGTCACAGCTGTTTTCGGGCAGGTGCACGTAAAAAAACAGTCACGATTTTTCTCACGCACGAACAAGTGAAATTTGTTATAACTTCGCAACGAAAACAGCTGGACTGTCCTTTTTGTGCGCGGCTCTCAGTCATGTGCATCGGGCATCCGTGTGATAATTGCAACAGCAAGGTGGCCATTCTCAGTTTGTCTAGCTAGAAGTACCTGCTAATAAATACAAGTGGGGAGAAACTGTGCAAAAAACATGCTCACACCAGCAAGGCTGGTGTGTCGTGAACTTGGTTTAATCTAATACGTTTTTTCTGATGATTGGAAAATTTTAACTTTTGTATGTGGGAATCTGTTGCAGATGACAAGATAAAAGATTTATTTTCAGTAGAAGGAGATTGCGTGTATGCTGCGAGGCCGAGACCTGACGTAAGAGTTACACAAAGCATTCTACTAATCGAGATTGTGCTAGGTTCCAGAAAATTTAAAAAGAACATAGCTCGAATGCAATTGTTCTCGTTTATTCCGTTTATGCATTCAGTGTAATAATAGTTTACCATCATTTAATGTCTTATTACCTGCGCAAGACAAGTTTTCTTTTGTTGAAGCGGATTAAAGAACGAGCTTTCAAAGAGTATGAACTGCACATCTATCCGCGTGAAATGAGAGTTCGTTTTGTGAGACTTGATTCGCCGACAATGGACACATTCTGGGTTTTGGATCCGAATATTTTTACACATGTTGAAAAGGTAATTGTGTTTCTGAAGGCCCATTGCTTTTTTTCCCGGCGCCTTTTTAAGAACACTAAGTGAAATGAAAATTTAGCAAGCTTAAAAGATCTGTAGAGCATATTCTCTGAAACAAACAGAAAAAATATGCATTTTGTGGTGTTGCTGAAAAAAATTGCATTCGTTCAGCTGAGACATTTTAACGAGAAATTTCTTTTTAAATTACTTGTTTCAGATGTTGCATGAGGATCGCCAGCGCTACTGCACTTGCCCGCAGTTACGTGTGGCTGCTGGTCAGGATCTGAACCGTATGACATGCATGGTTCGAACTAGTCTTGATAGCGGTTATCGTGTGATGTGTCGGGCAGAGATCAGCAAATACACGGGCTCTACTTCAAGGTTCCGTTATACACAAACTACGTAGTTGTATGGAACTTGTTTGCACTTTCATTGCCTTCATGAACAAGCCTCGTTTTATTTATGTAATGTGTCAAATGTTGCGTACCTTCAATGGGTGAAAGCAATAAAACACTTGGCAGAATAATTCAGGTGTAACTTTGACAGCACGGCAACATCAACTTTTGACAAGCCTACTAGTGAATTATTCGTTTAAATCAAAGTACTGGTTTATCTGTACTAGATTTACGTGTTCCACAGTTATTAAGGTCTGTACTGTTTCCTGCGGACAAGCTGCAATGCAAGCAGTTCTGAGCATCACGAACAGAGGAGAACATTGGCAAAGTAAAAAACAGTTAAGTAAAAAGCAGATAAATGAGGATAGCTAAAACCGTTAACTGTTATGGCTTGCTTTAGCTGATCTGTCAGCACCGCCATGGGATTAGGTGTACTGGCGAATGAACTGACGGACGTAGTCACAAGCAAGTATGAAAGGTCTAAGCTGAAGATGAAATTAGGAAGGGGAAACCAAGATGGAAATCGTACTGGAGTACACTAGCTCAAGGACACCACGTTTTATTGCTGAACCGCACTTTTCTTGACATTATTACATCTCAAATGTACGAATAAAAATTCGAAAAAAAAAATGATAAATGGGTGTTTCCATTGTCCGGATATTAAACCATTAAGATAGAAAGACCCAGCAGGGAACAAAAATTGTTCTCAGCTTGTTAACTGAACACCAACAAGACTGCCATTGCAAGACGTCGAAAGTTGTCGTTTCTTTCCTTACCTATGAAAACAGACTTTGATACCAAGTGAATTCAAATCAGTTTTAGATTTTCGGTTTATTTGGTTGATTATGGTTTCTATAAATGGGTCAAAGATACTGATGTCTACGATATATCGTCAGTTAGCAAGGTTTGGCATTCTATCCAGTTTTGGAAACCACAAACTTCCTGGTATGGTAAATATGGTAAATAGTGAAGAAACTGAAATGTAATGGTAGTTAAACGCCTATGATTTTTTACTCGCATTTAGAAACCGATTTGGTTTTTATTTTGAGCGATTTTTTTTTTTT